AATATTTAAAAAACCCAGTAATACTTTGCCCGACCCGGGAATCGAACCCGAGACTCCTTGTCCGGCAGTCGCACTTACGACCACTCGGCCAACGAGGCAGGTTAATACGACTAGGTACCTAATTGGTCTAAATAACTTCTAGCTAGGTATCTACTTAAAATAACATTTGCTAAAAGGTAATAAATAGGTAGGTATGAATGATGTCGTTATTTTGCAGATAAAGAACAAATACAATGTAAAACATGGTATATGGTGTAATATTGGCTGTGATTGTGGCAGCTGTGTGGTTGCCATGTATTAAGAAAGGAATATGGGCCCAACCCGGACCGGTTTATGCAAGAGACCGAAAGAATCGCGTGTTTCAAATCACGCCAACTGGAAAATGTTGTGAAAGCCAGTGTAGAAACAAATAATTTGTTGTATGTAAAGTTTTTCTTTTTTTGTACTTGCGAATGCCAAAATAATTTTATAAAATAGGTATTATTAGTATTGTTTTCTATTGTTCCGTAATTTTTTGTTTCATTTAATTATCGTGTACCTAGTACATAACGGTGATATTCTTCGACGATATCATTGCTAATCGTTGATTGCCCATGGTAGGTACTCTCGGCACGGAGCCGCGGAGGGCTTTACGGGTTGCCGGGGCTCCGGCTTGAAGTGCAGGAGTAGGAACCGGGTGGTTTTTAGTCAGAGTCTGTGACACTCCCTCTCGCCTCACCCGGGCGGGAGAAGTTATAATTTTCCCCCCTCAAAAAAATAGTACTGAAATCTTTGTGCGCTTACCAGCTAGTGTATCACGCCACATTAGGTAGGTACCTGCGTGACGATGATTTTGTCCAGGGACATCCAGTATTGTAGGTAAGTAGGTAAGGACATACTGCTTATACTACAATTCTGTCGTATTACTGAAAATATTAATCTTGCAAAGTGTTGAAACTACATGCGGCGCTCTGTTTCCGAGGATTTTACTACTTTGAGGTTAATTGATTGAAGTTACGAAATATTTTGTTCATTGCTTTTAAGTGTTGACTAGCAATAATATCCGTCTAATAACATGTCAAAGGCTTTGCATTTTATTACCTAATAGGTACACAATTACAGGAAATACCCCGCAATTACTTTCGATTTCATTCAGATTCGATGTATCTAGTTATCCGAGCACCCCTGTTTCGAGTAGGATTATATAAGAAAATGGGGTATTTTAAACTAAGTGTTATAGTCCTAATATGGGTCTGTCAATCATTCTACAAAAACAAACACACACGTACACATAATAATATTTATTGTTCTAAATAAATACACACACACACATACACATGTTCTATAGTTAACAAGTTATCTGTCATTATGGAACGTGTTGTATTAATTTTTATTAAATTTGTGAATAGGTACTCGTTACTTGAGCAGAGAAATAAAGTTGGTAATAAGTTGTTATGGTTAAATAAAAACACACTTTTAATCTTGACATTTTAATTTGAATCTACATGAAACAGTTCAGTTACAGGGCTGCGCATAAAGAACCGTTAAAGTCAGTATAGGTACTTACATGAATTATATTTGTTCCTAAAATTGTATCACTATTCATAGCACCTTTGGAATGTAGCAATTTTTTCATATATTTTTCCGTGACTTGTTAGGTTTGCATAATAATTCATATATGTACTGTCTTTGCACTTTGCAGCAATGTAAAACTTATGCGTAGCTGTTGGTAGGTAGTTACTTCTTACTATTATTTACAGATTCTGACTGTGTCTACTTTTAACTATAACCTTGTAATAGGTGTGTACCTACTCAGTTACTGTTACACCGTTATACATATAAATATCAGGATGTCTAAAGTTTGTGAATTTTTAAATTGATAGGTAAATCTATTTTTTTTCTCCACATTACCACAGATTACAAACGAGACCTATAGTCACATAAACATCCTTGTTTTAGAACCGATATTTGTTTGCTATGCGCACTCGTGTCACTACTCGAGCAACTGGGCAATAACTATACATTACTACTTTAGAAAATATATTTTACCAGTTATACAACGGTGTGTCAACCGCTATTTTTTAAAGTAGTACCTACTTGAAAATATCTGTATCCACCCATGTCCGTACCAGCTAGAGCTGACAGACAGATGACACTTTTTTACTTTGTGTCTTTAAATATGTTATTTGTCGTTAAAAATTGCCTTATAATGGTCTAATTAAATTAAATGACTTGACCTCAAAAGCATTAAAATCAATTTATACCTAATTGAATAAATAGGAAATTATCTACTTCTATAAGATGGATAACCACTTTCACAGTTCTTATTACCGAAGTACCTACCCGGTTGTGCTACTTATGACAGTTTTTAGCTTAGCACACTCCAACCTTCGATCGCGAAAAACGAAGCAAATGATGCCGTAGGTATTGTGATGGACAGGACAGGTCATTTTGAATGGCAGTTAAAATAGCTTTGTAGTTATTTACCTATATACTGTCAGCTTTTATGAATTGAAAATAAGTAAGTACACTATTATCTGTTTGAAACATTTATAATACAGTACAATAAAGTTCGAACGGTGAAGTGATTCTATTTAAGTGACTTTTGTCGCGGTTACAGACAGAAAAGGAACGCTGCTGTGCTTTTAGAATACAAATAATATTTGTACCTACTAATTTAAAATTAGTGGCGGAATTACCGTACATAATATCTTTGTCTACTTATATATAGATAGGTATATATAAACTTATTAATTTACAGTTTCTATTTAGTATTTACAAATATATATATATGTAATATAAATATATGTATGTATTCAATACAAAGTTTTTTAAAAGAACAATCAAAGATTTATAATTTTTCTTTTTACTTTGTAAACCAAAAATTATAACATCAATTATATTATGTAGTTACCTATTTAAAGTATTAATATAAATATGAAATATATTTATTTGGTAATAGTGTCTTAAATAACTACATTATACATAAATAAGCCGAAATACTAAATAAACATTTATTCTTATAGGTAAAAGTAAGATATCAATAGCCCGAATAGGTTGTATAGTAGTAGGACTAAACAGTTATTTTTCTGCTTTGCTGCTTACTTACAATGAATGTCTATACTCTAGATAAACACAGGTACCTTATTATATCGCTAAAATATACGTATACTGATGCCTATTCTAAAAAGTAACATAGTTTTTACAACATAGGTACGGTACGAAGACACGCACGCATAATTTAATTATAAGTATAATAATATTTTACAAGACAAGAAATTATAAAAGATATAAGTACTTATTAGTTATTCGTAAATGTGGTCTTAGTCTTATATAACATCATCTAAGACCAGACCAGAGAGTAGATTAGTAGTTTTATTCAAATTTTGTTACTACATGTACAAGAAGGAATTCCTTTTTTGTATAAAGTCTTAAAAAGAATTTAGCTCTACATAGGTAGATAAAAAGGTAAATTGAAACTGTACACAGTCACAGTCTCATAGTCTTCTAGTTCAAATCAGTACATTTTTGGAAAATATTTACAAAACATGTTATATATAAATACTTCATTGTTTCGAATTAATTAGTTCAAATTGTTAATAAATAAGCATCTGGAAGTTTTCTACAATGCAAACGTAGATAAAGTATATGAACAATTTTTTGTAGGTAATGTACCTACATTATATAGGGAGGTGACGTAGAATAGACCGAGCCGATAGGTATATCGGAATAGAGATGATGACTTGGTTAATATAACTAAGACTTAGAAATGGATGGTGAGAATCTTCCAACCGCATAGAAATCATAGGAATCTATCGATTTCGACAATTTGCTGTCGCATCCATTCACCATCAAGTTGAATACTTATACATAAAACTGTAAACAATAAGTAATTGTAATGACTAATATTTAAATGACTTATTGTATGTTTCTAGAAATGTACATACCGAATTAGATTATAAACATTCACTTAAAATACGAAGAAAATACATAATAACATAATACATGTACTTATGGAAAGGTTACGGATTTGATACAAGTGCTAATGTTCCTACGACTAAGTACACTGTAAGTATTTCCTTACACTACGGTTATGTTAAAAGTTTGTTAAATCAATGAAACAGGTCTTTTTGAAGACCAAGAAATACAACGAATACATAGTTTTGACAATTTTCCTACTTACCTAATTAATTACATGTTTTTAAATATTTAAATTACTGCCTACATCACAATTAATTTCGTTTTTCACAACTCTTTAAAAAAAGGCAATTGCCTACCTACTTGTATTGGAACTATAAAAACTAGATATGGTAAATGCACTAATTATGGACAGCAATTATTTTTGACATTTTCTTTATTAGTCATTTTAAAAAACGCATTTTCAGTGATTATATGAAAAAGCTTACCTATTTATTAGAAGCATACCCATACGTATTACAGGTGCAAACCGGATTAATTCTACATATTAGTCGCTTTGATATTGTCAGTATTCTTTTAGATAAGGTTTTGCATTAGAATGTAGAATCATTGTATCTATTGTTTTATAACTCTACAAACAACAGATTTTTCTAGAAACTTTCTTATCTGTCATCATCGTCATCCTAAGGAAAAAGCATTGTTAATTTATCAAACATTTTGTATTGACTTATAGGCTGTTGAATGGTTGATGAGTGTAATGTGATAGTTAAAAAATGTGGATACGCCAAATTAACATCGAAGAAAGTGTCGTAATTGAATAACTACTAGTGGAATAAAATAGTCTACCTGTAGTTTAAAAAGATATCTTGTTCTGTGCCCACAACAGGTGCATTTACCCTAGATAGATATAGACCTGTGGTATAAACAATGTTTTTAGTTTTGGTATACATGTGGTTAGTTCATTGCCAGCGGCGCAGTGTTGCACTTGCCATGTTAACGTGATACGGTGACTATTAAGAAAACTACGAGCACCATTTGTAAAGCCATCCGAAGCGTAGTTTTCTAGGTTCTACTCAGTCGCGCACCCTGCGCCATCGACGGTGTCAGCCTCCCTTGTCCTCCTTTCGTGATCCCGGGCTCAGCGATCCGCCCTTATGCCTAGACATAACAATATCTCGATTAATTTACTAGTACCCCAAGTCTCTGGTTTTTGCAATCTTGTAATTGCCTATAATATACCTAGATTGTAAACACGTTGCAAGCAATGACATTTTCAATATAAAACTAATTATGACGTATTACGTTTAGATCGGATATAATTCGAATACCAAAATATGTATGTGTACCTAAGTTTCCTGCATTTCATTATTAAGGAGGAGAAAGTGATAAATAACAAGATACCCGTAGGCACGTACTACGTAGTTACGACATTAAACTCGTACGCATTTCATTAAGTAGATTGTTTTGTTTCTACTCGTCTACGCGGCTGATACTTATTTGAATTGTTATTTAATTTCATATGTGATAAACTAAATATTTGAAGCTATACAAGCTGAGTCTTAAGGGTTATTGATAAAAGCCCAATACCTAATATCCAAAAATGAATTACACAAATTGATAAAAAATAACACTTTTTTAGAGCTGAATTAAAATGTTTAGTAGTTCATTTTTGGATTGGTCATCACTTGAATCCTACAATACATATTATCATTAATTCGTCAATATACTGGTCACGCAGGAAATACGCACCATGAACCGATAAATTACGTGGCGTAATCAATGTAAGTCAAGAATATCGGTGGAGAATCGTGTTATTGGACACAATTTATTAGGTATAAACCTAAATACATGGGTTCCCCTTTTATGTCATGATGCTTGGAAATTAAAACAAGAAAATTGTGTATGTTAGTTAAGCTTGTTTACGCCATGTAACACTCTTCGTTATCTATCTCATTGTCTATTTACTTATAATGCTATGTTGTAGCACATTCAGCTAACAAAACGAATTTGATCGAGTACTAATCAGTTACTCTATGCATTCGTTTAAAATTCAAGAACGAATGTTGATCACTATATGCCATTTACAAAGCTCTGTGAATACGCAAGCTTTTTCTAGTGTCCGGGAAAGGCAATGTCTATTTCTTAGATTTATAAAAGGCTTGCCTTATAAAGGTCATGATCCTCCAGCATCTTATATGTCATCCTTCGCTTTTGGAGAGCCAGCTGCTCGAACTGAAGAACGAGCTGATAGAAGGTAAGCTACGGTATATTTATGGACAATTTTGAAACGGATTCAAGTACCGGGCACAATCATAGCTGAACCGATCCAGCAAGAGATAATTTCTTCAAATGAGTCACCATGAGTCACATGGCAAATTCATTAAAATTGGTCATTACGTCAGTACTCTAAAATAAATGTAATTAAATTCTTTATAATTTAGGTAAGATAGAAAAGAAAATCATACCTGCTGCTTACGTTTTTGGACTTTTTGTCCGCCTTTTCCTGACTTTGGCCACCAGCGGGTGGTCCTTTTTCTCCCTGTACCAATGTTTACATTAATATATAGAACATAGGACATAACAGACGTGTAACATTATTAAGTGCGGATTTTTTGATACATTATATTTACATCGGTGTATTTATAAAGAGCATACAATACAGCATTAATAGTAGGTACAAATATAAGTTCGCCAACGAGCAATGACGCATTAGTTCTGAGCGCTACTTGCAGCCTCTAAGTTGTACCTATGGGTAACAGGATAGTGGCAGGATATGGAATATATTAGGTTAAACTAGAACCTAGACCTCTAAACATAAAAGTTTTAGTAAGTAGTCAGTAAGTTGAGAATAGAATTTATATTTGTTTTGAACGAAAAACCGTCAAAATTAAGTACTTATTTTTCTTTACACTTACTTTTTACTTACTTTTACAATTCTGAGGATTAATTCCCCATTTTAGGTGTAGAATATTATTATAAGGTAGGTAGGTTATGGAATTTTTTACAAGGTTTGTCTACAACTAGCTACTCGCCCGGTTTCACTTCTATCGTACCGTGATGTTCCAAATCAGTAGTTCCGAAGATGTAATTGAAATCGCGGGTAGTTTTTGTAATTACGCTCTACTAATGGTACTAATTGCATAGTAGGTAACGAAATGTAAATCAAAAACAAACGTAAATAATGCGACAAAGAAAATCCATTAAAATGTAGTTAGTCATATTTTTAAACGGATAATAATATTATCGCTAGTAAATACTTAAAAATTATGAACACAATAGGAAGGTACATACGTCGTAACTTCAACAAACCTCCAAGTATCAAAATCCGCAAAAAGTGAAGTAAACAAACATCCAAACAGCATAATTATTTTTTTGTGTCTTTGTTTCAGTTCCCAAATGTAATAAGTAACACTGTCGAGCCTAATTGCAAAAGACAGCACGCAATTTCAATTGCACCCAGTAGGAGTATTAGCATAGATTATATTAGCAATCCGCATCTAATAATGTCACTTGACTAAAACTAGGCACAATCACGATATGAGTATAATATGGATACACATACTTATATATAAAATCTTATATTACTTATATTACGTATATAGATAGCATTGCTCTATAAATTCGTCAGTTTATGTACAAAGCGTAAGTAAGCTATACCTATTGAAATGTTAAGGTTTCTAGTCACCTTTGTTCCTTGACTTGTGGAAGGTCCAGCGTCAGCGTGTTGGGACTGACTATTCACGTGCCCCATTTTGGATAATGGAGGGTTCTTGAATGAATACGAGAACGCCAGTCCGCGCTTCAATGAAGCTCTATAACACATTTTTGCTATACAATAACTTTATGTGTTTTAATTCTTTGCTTTTTATTGCTTCACATTTTCTCTGATGTTCACTAACTGGATATGTCCTGGCAATACTTAAACTAGGAAGCTAATGAAAAAGTAGAGTAGGTATATTATCTAAAAGTAGTAATAGCTATCACATACATAATATCACAATAAATACAATAAAGTGGTGGCCAGTGTGTGTGAATTATAAGAAAATTGATTGATGACATTTTAAAAACCCAGAGTGATTCATCCGAATGAAACTTGTACCACAGCTTGTACCATGGAACCAGACCGTCGAGATAGAATGAAAATAGACCGAGATGTTAATAACAATTATCTATGTATATCGTGGACCTATGAATAAATATATCAGAGTGCAATAGTTAGACAAAAAACATTACCGCCTTGTTCTCCGCGTTTAAGTTCTATTGACATCAAGCTACTAGGTACTATCCCCAGCGTGACATACTATACCTACCTGGCTTGATAGTTAATCTCAGAATTGGATTGGAACCATGAGACATATTAAATAAATATTTGTTTTTAATATACCTATATTTTTTTCAGATTATCGTTGTGAGAGGATTTTGGTTGGAGAATAAGTATTACCTAAATCTAAATCATATTTATGTTTTAATACACCTGTTTGACAAGTTAAATGCTAGTTAAACAAAATGACAAATCTAGTAAGTAAGGTGTGTCTCTAAATTTTAAAGATCTAAGCATACATAGGGACAGACAGACGGCGGATAGAGATTTTGTTTTATACTATGTAGTGATTAATAAATCCCGCTTACATGACTCAATCCTCTCAGGATGCTCAGATGAGCATAGACATTGCATTTAAAAGCCACAGCTATTTTTAAAATGGATAATATGTTTAATATCCCATTTTAACTCAGTTACGTCGAACTTATGGCACGTAATGTGAAATGTTGTTGTTAGAATGATAAACTACCCGTTTTGGTGTTAAATAACTTGTCTAATCGTTTCGGCGTCGACGTCATCGACGTTTCGTTGAAATAACTGAAGAAAATACTTTACAAATAAGTTGGTATTCCTTCAAAGTTGACATTAAAATGTATTTCAAAAATATCCTTACTAAAAGCGTCTTTATTCTAAACTATATTGGTATGGCAAGCATTGCTGTCTAAGAAGCTGAAGCTTAGCAAAATAGTAAAATATTTAATTAATAGCTTTAAATATATACCTCCTATAATCTATTTTATTGAGATACGTTACATTACATATGTACTGAACTAAATTGAACTACAGTTTTAGACTAGGGTCAGCAAGCACATTTTAATTTAACTTGATAATGTCAACCCTGACGGAGGATACTGATGCCCAACTTATGTCGACTGGCTTCAATTAAAATTAGTGGATGTTTTAGCATTCCATGATTGTGTTTGGTTCTTATAACTAAATTGAATAGTGATACATTTTCAATTCGCTTGAATCACCGGGTATTTCTTAAATTATTAACAATTCTTGATAACTTTCAAAAATGCCATTCTATTGGTCCATCCGTAGAGTTTCATACACAAAAACATTAAGATAATTGCAGTCGAGGTGTTTGGTAATACGGACATGATTACTATTAGTTATTGCTTAGAACAAGTCTAAGGCGTGTGAAATTTCAATGAGGCGTGGAATCAAACTGCTAGTACTAGTCACAATACTATGCGGTTTTTTCAACCACTGCTGTTCGTTCCAAGAGCGATTGGTGTCTGAAGCATATTTTATAGGAAGACAATAAACAACTTTTATCATAATTTTAAGTTCTTGCCTCTATTTTAGTAAAACCGTAGAGATTAAATGTTAACAAATAACTAAATTATAAATTCGTTAAAAATAAGAAAAATAAATATTGAAATGTCTACAAAATAAATTAAAAAGAAATGCCAATAAAAACTTTACCACGGTAATATTTATGATAATATTACCGTGACATTACTCTCGTAACATGTAGTAAGTATATATATAAAAATGTACCTAGTCTTTTGTTACCTACTTTTTTGTGAATTATGTATCACTAAAGTGTCCGTATAATCGTTAATACCTACTTTTTACTGTAATTACCTACAGGCGTTTAATATCACTGATAACTTGCCTAATTGTAAAACAGTAGATACGTAACGTACGCTATTAAATCCCTATAGTAAGTAAATAGAGAAAGTAAGTGCAGTGTTGGGGGTAACTTTGTTTCTTCAAGAAGTTACTCTTATGTAAGATTGTAAATATTGAGTAATTTCGATGTTGATTCTGAATTTTTTGTTGTGTCTCTGTACCCGGTATGTGCATATAAATGATCAAGAAAATTATCTCTTTAACTTAATAAACGGTTTTTCATTATTCAAGAATATTTGGATCTAAGTAAAATACAATTATATAGTACCTATATATAAAAAACATGTCAGTAGGTATACAAGACCTCAAAATCTGTGAAAACCAAATAATGTCATTGTCCTGTATCTTTGTGGTTTTAATATATGTATTTTTAAATATAGATCACTATTTCAGTGTATATGTAAAAGTATATTATGTATGTGCAAACTGTGCATTGACATGGGTGCTTTTCTTTCTTAAGTCTTAAATCTCGCAGTGGGAGCTAAAGAGAGAATCTGCAATGTGCTTTTGAAGACGTGGTAAAAAGTGTAACAATTTATATTTTAGGTGTACCGTCAGAGATGAAGAAGCAGGCCAGGGTGGAATGGAAATATTAATGTGTAAAGTTTTTCATTTAAATCCCATCAACACCGCCCTGTAGCCGTACCGTCATAATATATATCAATCTTAGCTCAGAATACTCAAGCACCATCTATGTCGCTTAGGTTAGGTTTTTTTTAAGGTGAATGCGAGTCATTCAATTATTTTGAGCTCTCTAAGAGTGGAGCAGAGTATTCCAGCGACAGACACTTTGATCACCAGGAAGATGGTAAGGTTGAGGAGACGGTGACCAAGTTGTCTATGAGCGATATATGTGGTATCTCTGAGGGCGCGCCTTTCCAAACATGCCCTACTAAACTTACGATAACAGTTTGTCTCAGGAATGCGACCATAATGCCAATCAGCCTTACTATATGAAGGCATCAACAAAATGCTCTCATTTTACAACATGTTGGTTACAATTCACAACATAAAACATCAATCTAACACTAAATAATAGATTCTAGTTATCAGTAATAATAAAACTGTGTTTTTATGTAGTATTCAAACCCTGTGGGTGGACTAACTTACTGGCACACCTGGATGTTACCAATCATTGACCAAAATATAAAGGACATTGTGGCTGTTCTAAATAAAATGTGACTAATCAAGAATTTAATTTAATTTTTAATAATGAAACACGAAGATATATCAAAAACGTCTGGATATGTTTTTTAAGGTTCTTCAAGTACCTAGGTATTTAATCTCTACGATGTTTCTAGTGCATTTATTCTAAAAATTAACCTCCATTATATACTTGTTTCGTTACTGTTACCTAAGTTATAATTGGATCATCAAATCGTTTTCATGACTTTGACGCCTAAATGAGTTAGGTAGATAAGTTCAACTGTTTTTTGAGGGGGAAAATCATCGAATGCCTTTTACCGCCTGGGTAAGGCGGGAGGGAGTGTCAGACTCTTACTGACTGAAAACCACCCCGTGTCTATTCCTGCACTTTGAGCTGGAGCCTCGGCAACCTGTTAAGTTCTCCGCGACTCCGAGGTAAGTTAAGTTAGGTGGCTACCTAACTACTACTAAGTAGGCTTACTTAGTAGATAAAATTGGAAATGCAAAAAGTATTTATCTAACATGCCATACAAATAAAATAGAGCATAAGAAAATTCCTTTGAACGAAACAATATCATGACGTTCAAGGCAATGAAGGCAGAAAATGTTCCAGACATGATTTGGTATTTTCAAAACTTGGATTTACCGATGTAATCACCGAAAACACCGAGGCAATGGAAAAAGGTGTTGAAACAAAACAGTTATACATAGAAGAGAATTTTAAAGTAATATTAGACTTCAATATTGATCAGCCTACGGTCCTTTATACATAATTCTGTATGGCCACCACTATATGTTTTTATTGTGTGAAACTCATTGCGGCATCTTCTTCTGTCTTGAGAAAGCGTCAAATCTGAAACAAATTCTGTGAAAATGACACGAAGCACCTCCGACGACTTGGAGCCCGGTAAGCCTAAGCCGGAGCACCTGGGATACTGTGCTACGACGCAGGCTTCTATGGGGTAAACTACAACGCAACCCTATAACCACGCAGTGTATCATGTGGATGTTCGGCATCACCGCGTGGTACCGGACTCTCCCCGCTCACACCACTGGAAGCCTACCTAACTTAACTATCTCGTAAAAAATCTGAAAAAATGTGTAACAATAAAGACTTAAGTAACACTTAATTATAAGTAACTTAATTATAATTTAGGTCTATTACTTAAATCTGTAATTATAAAACGTTAATATTACTTGTATGGTTGCTAATTAAAGTGATATACCTCGTCGGACTAGGAGGTGGGTAGCTGGTGCCGCGATGATCAGGACTAAGGTAGTGCTGTTGTTGCTGAGCTGACAATCGGTTTCGCTGCAATAGCTCTTGGTGCGATTGGTAAAGCTTCTCAGACGCTGACTGAGGACTTGGGCTAGATGGTAGAACAATTGTATAGTTAGTTTAGTAGCGAAGTGCTAGTAGGTGTGCACCATATTAATCGATACACAATATGTTTTCAATGTAACACGGATGATGATTAACCTTTGTTGCGGACGTGGCGGCGACGTATCGAACGTGAGGTCCGGCAGGCTATGCACCAGTGCCATCACCACGTTCTGCGGCTGCACGCGCAGCGTGTTTCTGCTGGTGCTCGAACTACGCGATGGAATCGGCGTCTTGTGTGGGGAGCTATGTTGTAGTACTACTAACTGTTTCAACCAAAACATAATTATATTGTTTGTGTATTGACAAATAGGGTGACGTGTTGTGAGGTAGAAATCACGTTTTGGCAAACATTGCCTTCGACGAGATGGAGTGATGATATGCGCTTTTTGGACTTTCTATTGTTTCGTAATCTTATTACATGGTCTACCTATTTACAATTTAGAAGCACGTAGGTACTTTCACTAAATGGTAAATAGGTGAGCCTATTGCTCATCTCTCATTATCACTCATTTCGAGTGGTGAACATTTTGTTTGTTCTTTGTATTAAGCATGCTGCTCTGCATTGCATGTATATTTTAGTATTAAATAGAATAGCATAGGACCCTTGGAGAAAGGTTTCAATTCTTTGCCTTTTTCTTCAATTCAAATTCATATAGTGTCTCAAAATTGTAGCATTTATTCCATGTTTTGTACATAATCAAATTTCACCGAAAGTTATCTGTCTTCCAGGTAACAATATTTTATTTTATATTTGTTTATATCGGAAAATGTTTACTTTAATAAAATTTTATTTTGTTGGTTAGATTTTTGAAAATGTTAGATGTCGCACCGTAAACGTGTTTCAGAGATGCGTATAAGATTGCTAGATCCATACATTACGGGAATCCCTGCGCAAGATGAATTAATATTCATTAACAGCGTGTTAATAGTGTATACATCAAGATGGCGAACCTTTACACATTGTCGTGCCAATTATTGTGTGTTGAGGTACCATTAAAATAATTTTTCATTTTCATACTACTGACTGATTTAACTGTCAATCAGTAGCAGCAACGTTTACAGTTGGCCTCATGGTAAGCTGTCACCGCAGTCGAAGTGAACTTGCAATACTAGATATATCACAAATAACATTAACGTCGAACTACTTGCTAACTTGTTATTCAAGTATAAACACATAAGCAGACATCACATCAGAACTGTTCGTCTATAATGCCTATTATTATTAGTCCATTTGTGGTAGCGGCAATCGTTTGGTAGGCACGGACCACTTATAAACAATGTTGTTTTGTAGTTCCGTACCGCATCTAGTCACAAATTATGTATTGTAACTTACCGGTGGTGGCGGTTGTGAGTGCACTACTGTTTCTGACTCGCTTTCGCTGACTACATTGACTGTTATTGATGTTACTCCTGTAGGAAACAAATTAGAAATTTCAATGCGGCCACTAAAAATTTGAACTAAACATTTCAATATGATAAAATATTTTGTCGTTCCTCTGTGAAATAGTTTCGTAGACTGTTTAGTAACGGTACCTACCATTAGAAAGGTGGGGAAAGTAGTATCAATCGACATTGTCCGAGTGACCTTTACCCCATATCTAAACGGCTATTGTGTATCGCCGACAATGTATCTATTGTGAAACAAAAACCCACTTGCCAAAAATCCCGCCAAACTTTAATAATGGCGCCCGAAATAAACCTGTGCCGTTAATGAGGGCCTATACTTATATGTATATGATGGAGTTATGATATAACTACTTAAATATAGCTCTTATTACTTATTCAGGGGCGGTAGGCAACACAGTGAGTTGGAAATATATTCTACCAGCATTAAGGTGATGGAGACTTACGAAAATTATGTTTTATCAGAATACTTGGGTAGTCGTAGGTATGTCAATAAAATAATGTACAGTCATGATTATAATATGAATGTCAGGTCATTTATGTGTTTTTTACTACAATTTAGTTCGTTCGATTTTCGAGATATATATCCAACAAACGTAAATATATTGTAAAAATGTAACCATGCAGCCATATCTCGACAGTATAACTTTGCATGACATTGTTTTGTCAAGATGTAAAATGATTGCTGTGTTTGTTTTTATTCTGATGAGTATTCATTTGTTTTGTAAGAAGGCAATCTGTAAGAAAGTAAAATATGTTTGTTATAGTGGCAATAACTTACCGTCGTCAGGGTTCTGTGGGGGAATGACATGTTCAACAGAAGTCCCCGCCCTGTAACGGCTGGGGCCCGGCTGCGGCTCGTCATGGGATGCAGCGCTGCGATTCACAATTAAGCCAGTTAATCTTGCCTAACTACTTTCGAACATCGACGTCAACAAACAAACATAACGTGTATAACTTAGTTCTCAGTAGCGTAATATTTGTTCCTTTCTTTTACAATTTCATTTACCAATTTACTCTAGTATCATATTACTTTTTAACTTTCGTCAGTAGTTTATTGAAGTATATCATAGTACTATAAAAAGGATAAGTTATATGGTATCTGTACTTAAACGTCCATTTATCCTTACGTTTCATTTTTTTAATACCTATATTTAAACTGTATTAGAATGACGTAGAAAATGTATTGTAGGCATGGAAGTAACACAGTCATACCGAACGTTCATTATATATGTATGATCAGTTAGTTAGATTAGCAATATCTATCATCATCGTCATCATATCAGCCACAGTACGTCACTGCTGAACATAAGCTTCCCCCAATGACTTCCAGATAGGTCGGTCGGGTGCGACCTGCATACAGCGGCTCCCTGCGACCTTGATATATTCAATATCTATATTTATTGACAATAATGTACCTTTGTGGTTCAGTTTTGAGTGATTAAGTTCATGAGTGGCAACTGTCAATGTGTAGAAGTGAATCTTTCGTACTATATATTGTAAACACTTACCTGGTCGATTGTTGAAAGCTCGATAATCTAGAATTTCTTGAACTTCCTCCTGTTGAGTTTCGCTTCATGGGGTATCTCAGGCCGTGGGAATATCGTCCTCCGTGACTGGTGGATAACTCTCCTGTATTCATTAATTAAATACATAAATACATTATCTATTGGTTTTCCGCTTGTGATAAGTAAGTAGATAATCTTCACAATACTTAAGACATATCTTCAATTAAGATTCAAGTAGTTGAAACCTTACCGTCGAATGAATCTGTGTTCATCGACGCCTGAGAGAAGTTATCGCACTCAGTCGATACTCCCAGGCTTCGGTGGAGCATCGCGGCGACACGTTCTCTCGCTTCTCTGTCAATGTTTAATTCATCCGAGCTTTGTTTTGCGCCCTAAAATAAAACATTAAACTAAAATATTTAAAACATCTAGTTAGGTTGTATCTACGGCTTCGCTCGCATGATATTGGGGGTAGCAAAGAGCAGAATTTTTGTAGTGATTCCTAAATAGGAACGTTCATTCTATAATATATGAGCCTGAACTTTTAGCGTTTTTAAAGTTCCATATAGAATTTCACGTTGGTTGGGTTGGGTTCAGTGGGCGGTAGATTTACAATAAAATTATGCACGATTTTTTTGTTTCGCACAAATAGTACCTACTTATACAAACTTTTGCCCTTGAAAATAGCAAACAGCAACAAAAACAAACAGACACGTACACTTTCCTACTTAATAATATTAAGTGTACAGTATGGCTTTATTTGTGAAAGTTCATACTTACTGGCCTTGACGCGCTCGGAATGCTGAGGCCATAGTCAGAGGATGAATCAACATCCATTTCAGTGAGGTCTCGCGATGGGTTCCTTGTGAACCACACTGCTAGGTCGTATGTTAACCTAGCTTCGCGTATTTTTTGTTCCCAATTCTAAAATTTCAGATTTAATTGATTAATCATCGTTTCATAATTAGACGACTTCAAAAAAGGCATGAAATCTGACCTTTAGTGTTCCTTGTGCGCTGGGATCCTTTGACGATTCAGATAAACTGAATGCTATGAGAGATGACCCAACTTCATCGACTGCAACGAACACTAAGTTCGCAATCTCTTTAGGATTGCGTTGACTTACTTTTGGGTATGTAAAAAGTCTTTCGAGAAAATATTTTGGTCTGTAAAAGTAAATAACGAGCATATAATTCGCAGTGCAAAATATTCTTAACATTCGAAGGCGATAGACGGAATAATTGAATAATATTTACCTCACCATTTTGTACGGATACAAGCTGCCCTTTGACTGTTTTTTGCAAATAAGCAGCATATCAGTTAGAAGAAATACGCGAACTTCCATCTGTTAACAAAGCTATTCTTGTAAGGAACATAAGTGTTGTGTGTGACACCACAGCCATTACATTACAGGTCATTTGGTAGACTGGAACTCAAAGGTTTGCATGCCGTGGGTCGGCAGCGACACACTTGCCTTCTTTATTTATAAATAGTAATATAATTAAATTGTAAACGTCCACACATAGTGCGGATGGCCGGACGGTGTAGCACCTCATGGACGGTTACTTTATTGAATATAATGCTGTGATATCACACTCAGTGGTTATAAAACAATTGGAACATCGTTAGTAGAGTTAACCGAAAAATTATAGCATTCGCATAATACCTACAATAAAATAATTCGCCAGAAAAGCGTAATGCATAGATAATACATAACTTTACTTGTATACCTTACAACTTTATACAGGTAGTAACAGCAATAGTTTTTGATGTTTTATATTTGGTAAGTAATGTACTACCAAACAACACTTATAGCTGTTACCGGGCCACGGATGCATCCGAAAACTACGCAAGCGAGAGAAGAAGTAGATATTCGTTTTACAAGTGACCTCTGATTTTTGAAAGGAGGGATCAAGTTAACTGATAAATTTTCTAATTTTATGTACTAAGTTACGAAGTTAGTTGGAGATGTCACTTATAAAAATAATATCAGAATGTGCATCTCTTGCCTCCTTGATGTTGTCCTTAAAGCGTAAATCCCCCTGATGTATTAATGTCCTGCTATGATGCGGCGAGCAGTTTACCATTGGTGCTCTAAGATTAAGTTGTGAATATAGATGAAAGAATTTGTCTAATTCTTCGTCTTTAAAGTCCTGAAAAAGAAATATAATGTTTTATGATGATACTCTAAAAGATCGGAGGTAGCTGTAGTCGGTAGGTTCGTACATATGTAGGTAGGTAGAGTTTATTTGTTTGATTGAACGAGCTAATCTCCGGAAGTACTAGTTCGAATTGAATAATAATTTTTAACCGACGTAACAAATAATTTAGAATTATTCTTCTTTGTAATAAATATAGAAAAGTATTGTAAGTTTCGACATATTTCGAGACGATCTATTCCACAAGTGCAATTTTAAATGTTAGTTTTGCCTTTAAATCGTTATTAATTATTTTGAACCACGCCATTGATATTTTATGTCGGCTTCGGTCCTTATTGATAGGTACCTAGTAATTTTGAAAGTTGAATATAAACCACAACATTTCAGAATTACGATTTAGTTTACTTTAACCAAAGGCATAATCGAGGTAAGTGCATAAAAATGTATAGATAAGTAGTTAATTGTAATGGGGTAGACGACTAATTTTTATTTTAATGTCCGTCTGATAGATTATTTAAAAACATTAGACACGTATTTTTTATTTTCTCACAGAAACGAATAGTTTCGAAGATATATTGATTTGAAATGTCGCGTGACGTCACTTCTCAGTACATTTTATACTAAGGAATGACGTTTTAGCCCCCACTCCTAAACTTTGATTCGTTTTATCTAAGTATTGTTTTATTATACGACAAAATAAAAAAATACGTGTCTAATATTTTTTCATTACCTAACTTACGGACTAATTATATTTTTAATTTTCATACCCTGTCATCTTCCCCATTGTAGTTCTGAGTATATAGTTATGTAATATCTAAAACGTATGTGTTATGTCAACAATGTCGTGGTGGCCTGGAGGCCTGCGTTTCATGCATGAGGGTCCGGGTTCGAAGCCTCACCCTTATGCATAAGAAAGAAATGCTTAGCTAATACCAATGCGCCTTTTTCGAGTTATATGCATTTTTATTTAGACACCATTGACAAACGGTGAAGAAAAACATCGTAAGGAAACCTCGGTTTATAATTTCTAATTATAAGTTTACAGTCTCCAATCCATTGAGCAAGCGTGTTGATTAATGCTCAAACCCTCTCCGTTTGTCAGTGCTGTCTAAATAATCTTAGAAAGTACATATAACTCGGAAAAAGTCACATTGGTACCTACTTGCCGTTGGTAGGTTTCGAACCCGCATTCTCATGCATGAGAAGCCAGCGTTTTAAACCTCCGGGCCACCACGACATTATGTCATGTCTAGAGTAGCAATAATTAAAAAAAAGTAAGTTTTAGACGGCGCAGCAGATATCTGTCTGAAAGAGTTTTGTACACTGAAAATGTTGGTGTATACAAAACACTGATTATTCCAAGAAAACGAGTGCGTGTGACGAAATTTCTTTTTGTCGATATTAAGTCAATTAATGTGTTTCCAGTTACAGGCTGGGTCATGAACATTTCGTATATTGAATTTTTATAATGTTGTTATTATAATGTTTTATAATGTTGTTATTCAAGTCCATAATGTACCTATAATACTTCCCTGAAATATAAATTTAATTTGGTGCGTATTTTGAGAGGACTTGCTTTATAAAATAACATTGTCTTTATAATCAAAATATTTGTAATAAATTATATTGGTTTAGGTACATTTTATTAACGAGAATTTTTTTGTAAGTTATCTATGTATGTACCTACAAATAGGTTTTCCCTGAATTCAATATTTGATACAATTACTTTGCCTGTGGATGAGAAATACCTTTATCGTTTCACTTCCATCTTTCAGATTCCTCTCTTCTACTCTTTTTAGTCAGGTTTGACTAGAAACGAAACCTCAACCTCAAGCAGCTTGAGGTACTGCTTCTATTGACTTTGTGTCAGTATGCATTACAAAGTATAATTTGTGCATAACATTCTTAATTTGTGTGAATTATGAGTGATTCTATTAAAGGCAATTTAAGTTTCTACACTGATATAAAAAGTTAACACGCAGTTAACTATTGTTTCAATTGCATATAAATAATATATTTTTCTAATAATAATAATTACACGTCTTTGCAACATTATAAACCGAAATAACTTTTAAGTACAGATTCTTCCATATTTTGATGCAATATGGCCACATCTTTTGGGTATGCTTATTAACTCGTCGAGTACCGGTTTTATAGACACAATTAAAGAACAATAGGTCGCGGTCACCGGTGACCGCTTGGTGTTTGACAGTTTAAATGTATTATCTTAAAATATTTGCGCTTAGCTAGTATTGTGCATGTACGGTACCTATTTGCCAAATTGTCAATAGCAAAACTTAGTTTTACTGGCGAAACTGGCGCGTGTGTGTGTGTGTGTGTGGGGAGAATTATTTAGGACATTTTAGTTTTCTTTATTAACTGTTGTACTTAGTTGTATTTATATGAATAAACGACAGATTACGAAAGAAAGTTTAAAATATTCTATAATTCACTTACCACCTCGTACGCTTCTATCGAGTTAGCTAATTTATCCATCTTTTCTAACTCTTCTCGTTGGCGTATAGATCGGTTCAGATCTTGGACATAATTCTTAGCACAAGTTTCCTGTATGGAAGAACGCATAATGTAATCCAGTTGTAGAAATATAGTGACCGTAAAGTAAAATATTTTTGATTATGAATATAGTTTGACAAGTATTACTCCAGTCAACCAAACCAAATTAAAAGCGTCCGTATGGCCAGAAGCGGCGAACAAAAAATATGAAATTAAGCCGCGCATACACTACCGACTCGGGAATTCCACTAGTCCGAATAGTTTCCCAGTGAATACCCACTGTTCACAAAACAAAATTAATTATATTCTAGTTGCCCGGACCCTGCAAGGCTTTTTTACGTTATAATAAAGTTCAATCCAAAGAGTATGCGCTCCTGTTTTGTTTGTTTTACAGGCCTATTGTGTATACCCATTTTTCGAGCACAATAACAAAGTCAGCGCATATATACCATGGCTTGTAGAGAAGTCCGTTCAGGCTCAATGTCGGTGTGTCCAATCAGTCGACGCAGGAGTAGACTGTACTTAGTCAGGCGCTGCATCGGTTTCACCATGATGTCAGCCAGCTGGAGCCTGCAACCAAAACACATTTAACTATGCTGACTTTGGTCTTCATATAGGGGTTTCTTAGGTAATACAAAAAGATATCATTAGCTAGTATCTATGCACTTACCTATTGCAGGCCTTCTGCCGGTAACACCATGTGAGATAACACATGAAGTCTGTGTTGTTTGATAAGGACCGGAGGTAATCCAGTGCCTTTGTTTGTTCATTAACATATTTTTCATATGGCTGGAACATGTCGCGAAAATGCATGAATCCTGGCGCCATGATTTCTGTGTTGAATCTGTGGAAAAACTCAATCTTATAACTTGCCACAGCGTAATTAAAATGTACCCAGAGTTTTTCAATTTCATTCTCCTTTATTGTTGACAAGACAAGGGTCATCATGGGAACATATTGCAAGATTGATGAGGTCCCTGGACAAAGACGGCTGTTTCTTTTTGTTGTTATTTAAAAGTGGAGTTTAATTCTTATTGTTTGATCTTGTCGCTTGCTTACGGTTTTTGCTCACCTGACTTTTTGCGCGGTCAACAACGGAATTAAGGCAACACGTTTCAACGATTTTTGTAAGCATAATATCCTTCCTATTCCACCCTCGAAAGGGTAAAAACGGATGTGTCACAAAATATTAAAATAAAATTTTTCATCATAGTTTCTCTACTTGTGTTACGAGCACCTACTATGTAAAGGAAGTATTTCTATTGACATACTCAGATCATAAAATTTTAGACACGGTGCTATTTTGAAGATATAATCGAGAAGTCTTGTTATATATCTCTTGTTCGGTGATGACGATATCTTCAAGTATGACCACTTAGTTTTTTTTAAACTTACGCAAGGCAATAACTTAAATGTTGACTGGGAGACAAAGGCCAAGGCATTAAGTCTGCAAACATTTGTTACAAACTGTAAACATTTATTGTAGTAAGTTAAAAATAAATGTACTACTTACGGAGCCTTTTTCTCGTGAGCATCAGCGATCATGGGGTAGATGGTGGTCTCCCAGAAGTAAAGGCTTGCATTCAGGACATCGGGAATGTTGGTAAAAAGTTTCTCAGTATCGATATCCAGTAGTTTCCCCGCATCTTGCAGTCCATGGGCGGCGGCTATAAACACCTAGTGAACAACAACCCTGTATTGTGTAATTATGTACGAGTACAATTTTAAAGTACCTAAACCCGGAAAACGATCTATCAGTCGTTTTAACATCTAATAAATAGGTTATGGTGACCTCGTTGTTCCCGCAACTTTGTTGCACCACAGCAAAAAATATTAGCGGTAAATTAATTTCTTTATATAACAATTCCTTCAACGACTGAGTTTTAAGATTATATTTAGATTTAGTTTGTTAGCAAACTTCTAAGGTGCCTATTTATTCCTTTAAACTCTTAGCATTTGTATCTAGACCGTTATATATATTCGGAGTCGCGGAGAACCTAACGGGTAACCGGGGCTCCGGCTCGACGTGCAGGAGAAGGAACGGGGTGGTTTTTAGTCAGTAAGAGTCTGACATTCCCTTCCACCTCACCCAGGCGGGAGCAGTCATTCGATGATGTTCCCCATTAAAAAAAAACCGTTATATATATTTTATATAGGTGAGTCTTCAACCTAACAAATAGAAAGAAATTTTAATGCATTTCAGCGGCACAAATTCAGACGATTACACTGTCTGTAGAATATTAGAATATAGCACAAATAACTGTCAGGTCTGCACGCATAAAACCGTATCATTGAAACAGCACACAATGATTAAAATCAGTAACAAAAGGCCCATTATAATCATTTGATAGCCCTTAATGACTTCTGTGAAGTGGGCTCCGGCATTTATTCGGATTAAGTGAAGTTAAGCGACATTCTCACGATACCAAATTCAAAGCTAACATTTTCCTGACCTTAATTAGTTTCTAGCGATTAAAAGTACTTAGCATGAAGTTATGTTTACTAATTAGATTGTACTTTAGGCAATACTATCAAATTATGTTAAATGTACCTGCATTCCAATCACTTTTGAAATTGTTAAAGGAAAGTTACAATTTTATACATAGGTAATATTAACTTAAGTTTTAGCTTATGGAAGTAATGTAAACATAGTAATTGAGTGTTACCTAAATATTTAAGTACACGTATTAGGTAATACTCATCAGATATTTATTTAATTTTGTCTTTCAGTTTTGTCTTGTTTGTTGCTGATTGATACTCGGTGTCCTATGTGCTTATTTTTATTAAGTGCTATACCCAGATGTCCTTATTTGCAAGCGGTATGTCAGTTCATATTGTTAGAAAGCACCCTAACACTCCATATCCGGCTTGCTGCCTGTCCACCTATATTTTAAAACTTTAAGTATCAAATAGAACATGAAGAAAAACTTTTGGATAATAATATTAAATGCAGAAATTATAGAGTTTAATGTAAAACTGTCTAAAACAAATAACATACACGGAAGGGTAAACAGAACACAACACTGGCATCTCTATTACACGGGGCGCTACACAACAGCGGAACGGATTTCTTCGTTAAAAGATGAATGTGATTGAGTTGGAGCAACAATACTGAATTCCTAATCTTACCTGTATTACATTACGTTCCAGGATCGTCCAATATCTCATAATGTCTTTAGCAAGCACGCAGTCTATTACCACAGCGGACTAATCCTCCCTCATGATAGGGATCGCCGATTCCGTCCGTTAAGCTTCAATTTTGGATTGGAAATTCTATTATTTTTTGGGCGAACGCTCCCGATATTATGCGGTTAAATGCGACCCGTTTGTACGGTTTGTTTTTATGTAACAAACAGATGGGTCGTCTGATGGTAAGCAATCACTGCGCCTGTAGGTACCCGTAACACCAGAGGTGTTATAAGTGTGTTGCTGGCTTTTTGGGAGGTTAAGGATTTGAGGATAGAGGATTTGAGGAACGAGGAGATTACAGAAGGAAGGAATTCTTCCTGGTAACCTCTGGTCACACGGCGAAACACGACGCAAGCGTTGCTTCACGCCGGTTTTCCGTGAGGTCGTGGTATTACTCCGGTAGAGGTTGCCCATTCGTCCAACACATAGTTTACGGTGCTTGTTATATTGGTATTGGTAATTGTTTAGTGTATTTTGAGTGACAATGATGTTACACAAATAGTTATAGTCTTATTTTTATAAGATACTAGCTTCTGCCCGCGACTTCGTACGCGCAATCCCGATATTTCCCGTTCCCGTTCTTGATTTTCGGTAAAAAGTAAAAAAAAAAAGAATTGGGTAAAAAGTATCCTATGTCCGTCTCCTGGTTCTAAGCTACCTCCCCACCAATTTTCATCCAAATCGATTTAGCCATTCTTGAGTTATAAATAGTGTAACTAACACGACTTTCTTTTATATATATTATAGATTATAGATATAGATATAGATTATAGATTATAGATAAGTATGTGTCGTATTAATGAACTATCTCTCTGAAAAAAATATTAGATAATATTGTAATATTTGGCTGAACAGCCAAGTAAATAGCAGTAGATAGGTCTCCCGAAAAGTCAAATACGTCATTATACCATCGTGTCCCGCCGCGGCCCTTGTCCTTTATCAGTACTTGTGAAGGGCACGGGAATTTAGGGAAGTGACCGACATGACGACGGCCATCGATTTCTTAGCATTCGTGCTTGACGATAAATACCAAGTTCTGAATTAGTAAAGGGCAACATGCACATGCCAACTTAAATATTTACGCTAGACTTCATACTACGGCTGTAAGCTAATTAATTAATGTACTTATTATGTACATTTAATATCAAGTTAGTAGTGGAGAAACCTTAACGTCTCATAATTGGACGGTTCTTTATGTAAGTTTTCTGTAATAAGAACCTATACTATTATAATTGCCAATCTTAAGATTGCATGAATAGTTTGTATGAAGGCAATAAGCATTGGAAATGCTAATTTGATTTTATTATTTTATGAAGCTGCGGGCAGAATGCTACATGACATAAAGTTTTCATGTTATAATATTATATCGACAAGTCCCGTAAGCTACGCAAAGCATGGGATTTGCGTAGGCTTACAACACATGGGTGCGTGTCGTGTGTTAGCAAATTTTTGTAACCTTCCTCACCATGTAACAATACTTTAATTAAAAACAAGTTTTAATGACAGTTTTACAAAAAAATCTCCATCTTAAGGTCAAATCCTTAGATGTCTAAGGTCAGATTTCTTCTCTATCTTGGTAATCACGTGAAGCTGGATTCAGTTGATAGCATACAACATTCATGATGGTCATCTAAGACAAGTATCAGATATCCATAGGTTTAGTGTATAGAAGGCCACACACGACTATAATAATAATAATAAATCTGATGAAGATACTACCTCTTCCAAGTAGGAAATGGATCACTAGAAGATCAGTCAGAATAACCGCTAATTCCTTCCTTATCTTTGGATTTAAAATTTAATTAAATTTGTATAAAGTTACATTATTAGCTGTGGCTATTAATGGAGGCGCGCAAATTATTTATGCAAAAGAAGCAGAGATCAGTTAAAGATTGGTAACCAACGACGACGTTGTCCGACGTAGAGGATGGTAGGCGAACTTTATTAATTAGGATAAATGTGAGTTTCAGTATTGGACACACATTTTTTGTAGCTAATTAAACATTACAACATTTTATTATGTTCAAAGGACAGGACAACAGTTTGCATCAACAACATATCCGGCATGTTGTATTTATTAGCTACTCTAGGTGTTCACCGAATTGAAAAGTTTACTTGAAATTCAATCTTCGTAATACCGCATAAATGTTTATTTTTTATATTATGTTTGGGTACATTCGTCGGTAATCCTTCGGGGATTTAAATTACGTTCTCGTACGTAAAACAAACTGTGTAATTTTATCAGTCATGTGAGGTCGCTACGTTTATGTAAACCAATATCACGTACTTTGCGGAGTAGGTACGTTACGCAAGGGTAGCCTGTAGCCTCGGCCATGTATCTCTGTGTGCACACATGTTTCACGCTGTAAACACTTCATACTTTGTAATTCACATAAACAATTTCAACTTTGTTATGAGATTTCTCTCTGAAAGGATTTTCCTGGTGTGGGCAGGTACAAGAATATTTCAATGTTTTATTTATCCTGTGGCGGTATCAAGCCAGATATTTAGTGTTGTATCTAAAACTTTTGTTTATCTTCCGAGAAAAATATGAACGTTTGATGCCGAATTAAAAAAAGAATTTCATGAAAATATCGCAGTCAATGGCTTATCTTTTTGTCTGGGTGCATTCAATTGGAACAGAATTTACCAGGCGCGGGTGCGGGTAACACTAGTCGTCTATTAGGATAGCCAGGGAGTTGACGTTCAAACGTAAAATTTAGATACTTTGATGAGAAGTATCCAAATCACCCCCCATGTATGTACGTTCTACGATTTTGCATAGTTTTCGAGTTACGTTTAGCTTTTATTGTTTTTTTTCATAAATTTCACCTAAAATCAGTTTTAATTTTTTTTTCATATATGTGACGTTACTGGTCCAATTGTTCTGTAGTAACTGACTAAATAGTCTAATCTAGCACCCTAAAATTATAGTTTATTTAGGCATTTTGCACGGTTGGCGCGGTGGCTGGGTATCTGGCTGCCGTGCAACGTGCCGCGGGTTCGATTCCCGCACGGTACAATTATTTGTGTGATCCACAAAATTGTTGTTTCGGGTCTGGGTGTCATATAGTAGTATGGCTAGCATGGCTTGCAACTAGTCGAGTTTCTCTCCAAACAGTTACGTGAATAAGCCGAAAACATAATAATTAATTCGTAGTGTTGTTTCAATATTTCGCGGTCATATCGCAAACGAAACAAAAGCTTCGCTCTTCACGTCAAATTTTAATTGGAAAACATCCAGAAAGTTGGTATCAATTTGAGATCTGCCAAATGTACTGAAAAAATATGATACCGAATTTCATCATGGAAAAGTCAACATTGATACGTAAGTAAAGTACTCGTATCATTCTCTCGGTTCGCTGTCTCTAATCCGCCTTGTGTTGACAACATTGTTACAATACAGATTATTTGAATTTAACAATGTTCAATGTAGAGAGCAATGTATACTCTGTAAGCTGTTGGTATGTTTAGAGGCAGTCTGCGGTGACAACGAGCATGTTACTTCACCCCGGAGTATTTGCGGTTAATCCGAATATAAAACTGGGCTGTGTGATGTTTCCTTTAATATATGTCATATTTGCAAACACTGCATCATACTTATATTCTCAGATGTTGTATTAATCATCGAAGTATGTAGATGTTGAAGTTTATAAATATGTATTATAATTTGAATAAGTTCTCGTACATTATTATACTTTATAAATCGGTTTGACTCCGTGCCTCTAATTGATGGTTTTTTAAAACGTTTAATGTTCTAGTTCCAGACATTTAAGTAAGGATTTACTTAAATACGTACCTGCACTATGGACAGTAAGTGGCGGATATAATCGGCTTCTGTGCAGATCAGCTCCTTAATTACTGCCTGCCGCGCCTCCTCCGCTTGCGGCAGTTCTGTGAAAAGATATTCTCATTAGGTATTTTTGGTTCCTCTAACCAAGGAAACAAAGCGACAGTAAAATATAAATTCCGATTGGTACGTGTGGTGTCTTCCGTGATGAGAAGTTACCCTGAATTTTCCGAAAGATTTATTTGCATTCTAAGTACCCTGGGCAATGATGACGACTGGACGACGAGGGTTCTCTATGATTATTAAACAACTAGCAAATGGATATTTTTACTATATCAAAAAATAAGGTCCCAGCCGCACTGGTATTTTATAATTTAAATTGTATTGAATGAAAAACAAATATGTAAGTGCGACCGTTGGTATACGGTTTCTTGGTTTAAATAATTATGCTGTTAAAAACCACCGCGGCTCCGCTATAGTGCTGCCAACGCCTAAGGATAAAGTTAAATAATAATCTATTTCACAAAACTTTTGCAAATCTACAAGTCATAACAATATGAATCTTTGGCAATAACAAAATATTCTTATAATACATTCGAATGGTACAATACTGCCTACCGTGTCGAAGCGCTGTGTTATTTCCTTAGACTTTAATACCACTGAAGATTCTGTTAACTTTATTGGCACTATATTAATATTGATTACGTCGTAAAATCGTAAGTGGTTAACGAGTGCTATCGGTCGAAAATAAACGGCTTTTAGAACTTACATGTGCGTACATTCGTAATATATGTATAGTATGAAACTGAAAAATCCATATTTCTGAGATCAGGATCATGCCATGACAAGTAATGAGTATCCAGATAGAATTTATTACAACGTAAAATAATACTTAACTAGGTAACTAATAATATTCAATTGGGCAATCGAAACGCAATACATCTGTCTGGATCAATTAACTGCTACTGAATTGTAATATTTAAAAGAAATATTAATATTAAGATACTAAAACAAATATGAATGAAATGTGGAACAGTAGGTAAATGTATTATAATTTAAACATAATTACATTTGTTTGGTAGGATATGCGGATGGCGGACTTGGTAAACAACTGGCTCTCGAGTCCCGTATTTTCCTGAGGAATCTATATTATGCAAAGCGGTCCGGAGATTTCCTTCGACGTGGATCTCATTACGAACGTTTCATATCCATAAAGATCCTCAGCGATCTGGCACTAAGTCCAGTATTACGAAATGGAAACGGATATTTTTAACTCAAGATCGACTCTTCAACGATAATATCTTTTAATAAATTGCAACGTGAAAAGATACATGCAGCAATTTTACAAAACAAGTAAATTACGATGACCTTATGGCGATGTATTGATTAACAAAAGTATAGGTCTAGTGATCTAGTATAGATTGTACCATAGCCCCATCGAAACCGGCGACAACGCGAAATGGCGGTCGGTCGGTCGGTCAAGTCGTGGATACAAAGGAGCGTGTATAAATCACTCTAAAATTACATAATTACAAAATATATTACAACAAAGTCCGGACTCCACCTGTCTGTTTGCAAACACTAGCTATAACCTACAACGTGAGTACGTAACGCCAACGCATTCACTTCGACAGTAATTAGAATTACTTTAACACAACTATAACTAGATAGAGTACTAGAACTAGAGTAACTATAACTAGATATTCAGCCGTTGCACAGACTTCAACAGCTAATTTGGTAATCTCTTCTCTTTTTGTTAATAATCAAAGCATTTATTTCAATTAATCCTTAATTAGACTCTTAAAACGTCAACGCCATTATTTTTCTAGTAAATAGTTATGCAGGAGAAATGATGAAAGCAAATATACAATTAAGCCGAAGCTCAAACTAACATGTGTCGCGATGAGCTGGCTCTTCAGTTCTCATCAAGTGTTCCGTTATTCCAATGTCGGAGCGGGGAGCGACGTGGCGGCGGCGTGGCGGTGGTGTGGCTTACCTTTACGTATAAAAATGAACATGACAGCTGTTCTGACCCTAGAGCGGATTTCCGCTGCCTAAGTTGGTATTTATAGGCATTGTTTGGATTTTATTCGTGGACCGAGGTTGCAGGTCAAATATTGGGATTACTTCGCAAAAACTAATCTCATACTTTCATAATCTATGTCTATTTGAATCAACATGATTAACAGTGAACTTATTGAATGGATGTTTATAATCATGTGCTATAAATTGTTAGATATTCGAGCAGACGGGATGGCGAACGGAATCTTAAGTAGCTATCTGTGAAATTGAATGAAAATAAACTTTTACTGATGTATGTGAGGGAGGTAGACGAGCGCATGTATCGGCGTAAATACTTTGAATTCGATACTTACTGAATTGACCTCCTGTGCGTTTTGAAGTAGGCTTCAATACCTATATTGAGAATGCAAGATGTATAGACTTATCGAACCGCGCAAAATGTTATCAGGTGGCATGATGCCAGGCAGATACGTAGTGTTAAAACTGTAATTATCGAAACTTGCCTTACGGCTATAATTATGTTGCGGGGTTGTGAATTTTGTACTCCGTAACAATCTGACAGCTAAATGACGGCAACCGATTCTGTGCTTGATAATGCACCGTCCATTTTGTGTTATGAAAAATAAATGACAGTCAGATTTTATCTTTCTATGATTTTGTGTCGAAGTGCAATATTATTTTCAAAAGTATTAAAATAATAATATTATCATTATCCATGATAAGATCCATGAAGACGGTCACTGCTGAGCAAATAATATTATACTATTTATGAAAATGTAGAAATTTGTGTTCCTCGTTTACCTACCTACCGACGAACATCACCTCTGCGATATTTTGACCATACATGACATTGTTACCTAGGTCTATCGCTAATTGAATAACATCATATTATTGGAATCCGAAGCGCTCGCATGCATACATAATATGTAACACCATCTCTATAAACGGAAAATTCTACTGAACTGCAAAATTTTACCAATTAGTAGCTGGATTTCGTCGGGATCCGACCTTCGTGTTCCAACAACTTGATAAAATTAATAAATATTCCAATAATTTTATTGGAACCTCGAAATACTAAGAAATGCAATGGCATTGACAACACATTCCTCTCAGATTCGATATTTGTAAAATGTTTTGCAAATTCCAGAGCACCTTACTTGTTACTACCAGTAAGTATAAAGGATTTCTCAGTTCAAAAATAAGTAGATTAAATAATATCTATTAAATAGTCGTACGGTTCAGGGGCGCAACAAAAGGGCCTGGAAATAATTTACCTGAGCCGAACGTAGCCCCATAAAATACGAAAAATAAATGTACAATATCTGTTTCCGATGTATATCAAATGTGGTGATTGATGAGAATAGGCCAATGGAGGTAGTAGACAGATTGCGTCAAGCAGCTGCGACCCGCGACCCTTCCTGTTTTATTGCGAGTATCTACAGCTGGGTGAACCGGTCCGGCTCGTGTCGGCTACGTGTCGGAATCGGCACGGCGCGGTGTCTGCACGGCCGCGCGGCGGCGTCGCCTCGTTTCGCGTGCTAGACGCCTCGCGTGCTACTAATCAACGTGATCGATGTGAACGCACAAATATTGCTTATTTCAATAAACATGAAATCGCCCATTATATTTTAAGGTTTCGTACTTTTTGTTTTACCACAATCTTAATTTGTGCTCGGCTTACCTACTAGGGAAAAGAAAATAAGAGTGTTCTTTCATTTTAGATACGTGTCGAGGTCGTTTTTCTAATGTTCTTGTTCAAAGTAATACATTACAATAATAATTTAATTAATGGATGGGTAGTTACCGACGTAACGGTACCTCCGTACCAAACTAAATCAGTTTTGACGGTTGTGGAGTCGATAGTGAACGCTTGGTTTCCCACGAGAGTGGTGAAAACCGACTAAAATAGATATTTAAAGGGTAAACACAAATAACATAGAGTACCTTACTAGTAGTTACCGGTACCCAGAGTTAATGTACGTACTCTTACGTAGATATATAGGTAAGAAAGTAAGCAAGTAATTTGTATTATTGGAAGTATTTTGTGAAATATTTAGCTAATTGAGATTAATAGGTTCAAGCGTTACCGATTTCAGAATGTCATATTGATATTTTATCACTAAATTGTATTACAGCAATTATCAAATGTTTTACAATCACCACGAATACCTAAATATTTAAATTGAATTAAAATTGCAAAGTCAATGCATAAACTATATTTAAAAAAGTATTTTATACCTCTACAGTGAAGAAACAAACTGTTCAAGATATATCTCCAATTATCCACGTTGCACAATGTTATTAGTTCCATGTACATACTAGTAAAAAACAAAATTGAGGACAGTCCTGAACAATCCGGATTATTATACCGTGGGAAGTCAGGCCCGAAATAAAAACGCGAAGGAGAAAGAGTGAGTAATTATTCTGAATCCACCATTTTCCTTAATTCAAAGAAGAGCAAAAATGAATAATGTAATATTATTTGTCATTCTTTAAGAAGTAGACGTAAAGACTACGTTGAATGAATGAGCCCGCCGTCGCGCGCCCTCCGTGGTAACCACCGTGTTGTAGCCACGTAAAAGTAAGCTCCATAGCCGAATAAAGTCGACAACCTAATACTTAAAACTCCCTTGGCAATCATATGAGCAATTAAGCATAATATTCTCCAATGTCACTGGTATTCATTTAGACATGATTGAAATCTATTATTTCATTTTTGGAGTTAGTCGTACGGAGTTCTTATCAAAGACTTATGTCCGATACACAACTTACGACAATCGATAGGAAACTGTACAATTTTACTTGAATCGAATAGATAAAACTGCACAGTTCAGTCATAGGTGTTGGAGCTACGATTTGACTGTACCTTTCGACTGTTCCGTTAAATCGTATGGTGTGTAGGCTGTATGGAGCGAAAGCTGCACAGTTTATCAATGATCATCATAAGGTCTGTGGCCTATGTTCCATCCAGATATTTTAGATTGAGATTAGTTGGTAAAGTGTCTGCAGGTAATCCTTTTGTTTTTAATTTGGCTACGTTTTATGCGGTTGATACGTCTTAGGAACTTAGGTTGGGAAGGCT